AAATCTTAATAAAAGAGAATATTATGGAGTGGTATTGCAGAGCAAATGGGCGCCATCTAATGTCAGGGAATGAATTTGCATGTCCACTCGGCTCATCGTCAGCGAAAATCGCTTGGGTGTGAACACAAAAAACGCGTTGAAAAACGCTGGCGCATAATGCGCGCCGATATTCGTCCCGGTGTGTACGAGCCTTTAGAGTAAATGCAGCTAATAGACCCACCACTTGTTCTATGTAATGTGTACGCCTCTTTGACCTTCACTTGACCTTTTTATAAACAATATTTACTTTTGAATGCTACATACTTTTTAAATGTATTATTTACTTGTAATTATTATCATCATAAATAATATACATTTAATTTAATATTTTTTTCAGAAATTAGTATTACACAATTTTCATTTATTTACTCTTTTCTGGAGAAAGATGTGTGAATATGTGACAAGTCTTTTTAATTGTAACGTGTTACTTTAAAAAAAAAGTTTTTTTATAATTGAGTAGTTTAACCGAACTTCATGTTGTGATGTAGGCCTGGTTATAGATTTCACACAATGGGTCACATTCATGAAACACGAGCAGAACGAATTTTTGTGTAAATCGTGTGTAAAGTGGTTCTGGCGTAAATTTTCGGATTCATTAAAATGTTCGTATTTTCCAAATGTTAGTTGGTACACAAGAAATCTACACCTGCTCCCAGCCACGCGTAAATAGTGCGCTTAACACCCGAACGTTTTGCTCATTAATAAGGCTGCATTTTAATTCACCTTAATCGGGTACATATTTACACAGCATTTTGAAAAAATATTATATATAGTAATTACGTATACGGTTTTTCTTATTATGAGAGCCAGTAATAGCATATGCGATGGTGGTCCTTCTCCAGTTTGAATACTATTTTTCCGAAGTGAACTAATTCGTTTTTTGCTCTCAAGCTAAATGTCGAACTATTTTCTTCTCACTTCTGGGAATGTTCGATTAACAGATGAAACTCCATTAACTGCATCTGTAAAATGCTGCCAGCTTCCTTTTTTTTAGGACCCGATACGCCACTATACGCTTGAAAATAAAATGTGGCGTTTTGAATGAACTTCTGATAATAAAACTTCAATTTCTGCATCTGAGAAATTTTTTTTTTTTCATTCGCATTCATGTCATAATATGATGCCCATATTAGGGGTGTGCAAAAAAATCGATTCACATTTGAATTGCGATTCAATCTTTACCGATTCAGAATCGATTCATAGAATTCCAAAAATCGATTCATTTTATTATTTTTTTATGGCGTGCACGGGCGGAGTGGCAATCGGCTGAGTCGGGACTTTTACCGGTGGTTCGGTAGTGTTTCGAGGCTGCGAGGGCCGGTCTGATAAATAGTTACATTGCAAGTTCTTGCCGCCCGCTGGTCAAACTGTGCAGCCTCTCTGCTCAACCCGTAAATAAATGCATCGATCCGCAGATTATGTTTGAGTTCTTAATGGTCTGTAGCGGTGGCTTTTTAAAATCTATTTAAAATTATTTCGCAAGGGTTCTATGACATTAGTATATTTTTAGGAAGTTCAATGTGCCCAGTCGAGTTCACATTTCAACAGTCAGCCTGGTAGCTGAAGTAGTCCTTAAACCACATTTAGCATACAGCACTTTAAAGCTAAATGTAAAAGCTTTTTATTTAAGTTTTATTTTAAACTTGAATTAAATGTATTTGAAAGCTGGCCAAAGCTTGGCACTTTGCACTTTTTAGTTGCAAAGGTTTTTATTTTTGTATGAAGACATAAAGTAATATCAAACTACATTTAATTTGTTGTGTTTTTTTTTCTTTTAAATTGTGTCTACTGCAATCAATCACATAGGAAAAAGTAAACTACATTTATATACTGCGAATCGTTTTTTGAATCGAGAATCGTTTTTGAATCGAAAATCGATTTTGAATCGAATCTTGAGACAAAAAATCGGTATCGAATCGTGACATTTTCCGAATCGTGCACCCCTAGCCCTAGTTGTCAGTCGGATTTAATGGGCGGGATTTATGGTAATTGAGAATGAACGTGCACGCGCATCCCATTTACGACTGATTGGAATTCATTAACACACACACACATTTCACTATCACATCTGACGTTTACTAAGTATTTGTGAATCAGGAGAAGAGTTTTCGGGAAGGTCTCTTTACGCGCAAATCACTCGCATATTTACTCGTGTATTTACGAATGTTTCATGAATGAGACCCAATGTGCCTATTTTACAATTATTTGAGTTGTCAGATGATCAAAGGTGTGTGCTGTACTACAGAAACACAACTTGCTTTTTGGAGGCCCTCATAAATTATCAATAAGCCATCGAGCATCACATTTCCTCTGTCTCATGAGCATAAGCATAGTCAGCATACCACAACCAACATCAGCATGGCGTGCTTAACCTCTCCTTTCACACACCCTGCTGTTTTTGATAAACATTCTCATGCACGTTTACACAGTAATTTACACCCTGTTTGTGAGTCAGGATTGCTAACGCATCATGCTGCTGAAGAAACAATATTGAACCAGATACATTTCATAAAATCAAATTTTAAAGCCATTAGTTATTTCCTCATATTGACTTGATGACAATCTGTATTGACCTTAGTTAACAGGTTTAACTTTTCCTTCGCAAGCACACTCTTGTCTGATCTTTGAAGACACTCATCAGTCTTTGCTCACTGTGTCTCTTTGCCCCACAGTCAGCAAAGATCTGGCAAGTTACGGTTAAGCAAGCTTAGCCTTGGCTATAAGTGCCATTTCTCGAAGGTCCTTTGTGAAGGTTTAATGGCTCTTCAGTTCAGTCTGTTTGACCCAGACTAACCCTAGTGCTGGACTGGTGAGTCATGGGTCACGTACACACTGTAAAGATTCAGGAGAGAATCCCCTAAGTAATCATTGTGTCTGTAATTATACCAAAGTAAAATTACAGTGAACAGTGTTTGTTTTGGCAATTTTCCCAAACCCCATCGACAGAGGCATCCTGTTTTGTAAATGCTTATCTCTTGCATTGTTGCCATGTCTGCTTGTTATAAGTGCTTTGGCCTTTAATTCATAAACCTTTCATGCAAGTCTAAACTAGATTTTCAGGTGCAGAAATAGTAACTATATGTAAAATATCACTGCATAGTCTTTCACTGTATAAATTTAGATGAACCCTTATAAAAGTTAATCAGTCAAGAGCAGTGAGTGAATTTTCTTTTTTTGTCTTTTGATTAACATAACATAAAAACAGACAGCAGCTCAGGAATATTTGGCTGCTGTCACTTTAAGAGTTGCTCAAATCCTATATACTCTAACACATGCATTTTCTCACGTTTATGTTCACTTAATACATAACTGACCATGTTTACGATGATGCTCGACAAGACGGGCATTTTGACAATGTAGTGTGAATATGTCCGTTTAAGCTCACGTGAAAAAGAGTATTTTCGTGCTGTGAGACGCAGCATTCTGGGCGTGCGCTTTGGATGCGTGTTGCATACACAACTTATCACATAGCGCGAGTACCAAACTGACGTGGGTACTTTCTTGTCTACTTGTGCTTGAATATTTAAGTTGGCAAGGCTTAAAACGTGAAAATGATCAACTTCTGTGAAGATGCAGCACTGTCTTGAGTGTCTTTCAAGTTTATTAAAATGTATTTTTGTATATGGGTCTTAATCCTTGAACACTATACAAAGACATCTGAAATTAAACTTCCCATATGGTATTTGGAATCAGAACTTTTGTTTCTTTTGGTTGTTCTTACCAAAATTTGACCAATAATATCATTAAACATTGGACTTTATTTGACACAATTCGTCACTATACAAACTAAGGAATACTATCAAAATAAGAATTGACATCTGTTGGAAGTTGTTATTTGCAGTTAATATTCTCTTAAAAATTGTAATGATTAATATGACGCAGATTATATAAGATGAGGTGGATGGAAACTATAACAAGAATTAGCTAAGATTAGCTTTTTGGCACTTAACTTAAAATGTTTTTATGATGGATCACAATGAATATTCATTGACCAAGGCCGGAAATATTGGATACACGCATAGGGCTGAAATTTATATTAATTTAGATGTTGTTTAGAAAAACTGACTATCCCTATTGCTTCCAGGGATTTTGATTAATTTTGACAGCTGCATATTTGCAGTAGCCTTTGGGTCCTGTTCAGAAGGGGCCAATTAACCAGTGTTTGTGACCCACATGTTAGAAGTTAGTAACCCTTTCGAGTCTTCTTGAATCTTGTCAATGCTTAAACATTCGTGACGATGCAGCGCTGGCCAATCAACTGTCCGAGTGTCGTTCACGCTGGTTCATGTTCATGCATCGTTAGAATTCATAAAATTTTTACCGGCCAGGCGAGTGACACCATTTCATATACTCGCCAACACCGCTTTTTAACTCTCATTTGTTACTTTTAGGCCCTATATATAGTATATTTATATATTTAACATTAATTTGTTTTTATTTAACATATTGCACTTGGTTGCCAAGGCAACACTTATATTTTGTGTTTTTAAGTATTTTATTTCAATGAACATTTTTAACATTTAAAAAAAAAAACACTGTTTTAGGCCTGTCCTGGACGTTAGAATTAGGTTTTCATAATCTTCATATTCTGTGTGATGATTAGGCCTATTTTACAGCAGTTGCAGAAATACATTTTCAATTTAATTTCCAGGGGCTCTTTTTCTTCATTTATTTGTTTATTTATTTTTACTATTTTAGTCAAACAGTCCAATTATTTAATGTACTTAGATTACATTCATAATGGAGTCAGTACCTAAAGTACCTAAACATTTATTTTTAATAATGTGTGCACCTATGAACATTTATTTAGAAAGTAAATCAAGTCAATTTTGATTTCACACACTTTAAAGATGGCTGTGTAAAGATGATATGGTTTCTGTGAAATGATGGCCATTATGTAATTCTTATTAATTTACCTTGTTTTCTCATCTCTTTTTCCACCTTTCTATATGTCTATGCAGTGCTCAACGTGTTGCTGGTAGAGTCATGACCCTGAGACAAGCAAATGGCTGCAAACAGCTGACCTTGACCATAAGCCTGACACTGACTCTAGGACTGCTCCAATGGCCAGTAGGAGATGTTAGTGGTCAGGATGGACTGTCTCCTACTCAAGTCCTTCAGGAGCTGCTGACACGCTATGGTGACAACACCAGCATCTCTGTCCCTCAGCTCCGATCGCTCCTCATACGGTTAAATGGAGGGCTGAGTGGAGACCATGATGCACAAACACAGCCCACCAAAACCAATGGATCTAAGGTGAGTCAAAAAGGTTACAGAAAATTTGACAGGATCTTTATATGTATTTGTCACCCAGAGAGCATTTTCACACGTCTAACTGGCTGTTGGATCTTCCCTGCCTCTGATTGGTTGCTTGCTTGTTGCACAAACAAATACATGCATATTGTGTTCAATGCATTATGGCTTCTCTTATATGTATTTGAATATGAAAATACTGGGCATTCGCCTGCCATTGCAAGAATATCAATTTCCCACCCTCTTTTTACTGCATTATCTGCACTGTTTTTATTACATTTTTTATCCTTATAGTGAACATTTATTTATTTATATATATATATATATATATATATATATATATATATATATATATATATATATATATATATATATATATATATATATATATATATATAAAACCCTCTTTATGGCAAGTTAAAAAGATCCTGTTTTCCTGCATTAGTTCACATGCTTTGGTTTGCAAAGGGATGTTTTAAATACTTTTAAAGCTCAGTGTCGGTGCTAATTCACTCCTAACACGAAAGAGTTTGATCTTCTCAGGGTGCTTTATAAGACATGCCAGACGTCTAATCCTCTGCCACACCAACTGTCACAACACCAGTCAGTGAACTGTTAGGTCAGGTGTTATTGCACAGGGTAGCTCTTGCTGCTTTTTAAAAAATATATTCTAAATTATATAAATATATTTATATCAACTGATTTATATTATTGTCAGTGTTCATAAATATAGAGAGAGCCTGATTTGTTAAGAAGGCTTGCTTAATATCCTTAACTGGCACATGCAATATAAAGTATATTCTTTGGTCGCGATACTTATACAGGTGAATCGAGAAAAATTAGAATATCGTGCAAAAGTTAATTTATTTCAGTAATTCAACTTAAAAGGTGAAACTAATATATTATATAAACTTTTGCACGATATTCAAATTTTTCCGAGTTTCACCTGTGTATATGTATATCATGATCCTTCAGAGATCATTCTAATATGCTGATTTGATGATACTCAAGTAAAATGTATATTAGTATTGATGTTGAAAACAAGTGCTGCTTGAATTCTTTTTAATTAGGACTTTTCAAGAGGGAAAGAACCATATTTATTTAAAATATTTTTTGTAACTATATACAAGTATTTGTCACTGATCAATTTAATGCTTTCTTTTTTTTGAACAAAAGTTTCATAAATAATTGGGGGGGAAAATTGTATATGCATGTATATTTATTTAAATCCCTGGTATTACAACGTTAACTGACTGAGTGTTAAGTAAGTAGACCCACTCAAAACCTCAAATGTTTGTCTTTGGTTTGACATTTACACTCGATGTCATTAAGTTTAAGGTTTTTTTTAGAGGCTTTATCTCTTGTGCCAGCTCTCAAGGTGTAAGTTAGCCAAGAATAACACATTGTACTGTATCAGTTTGTCCACACTGATAATAGGCCATATTGAGCCGTCATTATTTTTGTGTTAAAGGACTAAATGTGGAACTTTTACAAGGACCACAAAGGGAATATCAGCACGACGTGCACACCATTTTGTTCCTTGAAGAATGGATTGTTCACCAACAATATTGAGTTTATTCCATAAATTAATATAACAATAAAATGCTTCCTGGGTTTGTTTTAAAAAAAAAATTGTCAGCCAAACAGCTTTGACCTAAATTGACCTAAGATTGTTCTAAACTTTCATTAAATTTAAAGGGCTCCTCCTGTCCTGTTATGCTTTTTTAAAATTTTCAACTTTCTTTCTTTCTGAGCGTGAAGGTCTACAAAGTTATAAAGCACAAAGTCCACTCCAAATGGAGTTATTCTCTATATCAGTAAGCACTGATTCTGAACTCCCTGAAATGCCTCTATTGTAGTCTTGAGTTTTCTTCCAGGAACTTACATGTCACAGTATTCCTCATTTAAATAAATCCCGACCAAGACATGCTCAAAAAAAGGGACGAGGCCTGGTTATATTAGTAGTGTGTTGAAACTAATGGTTATGGTAAGGGGCATGACATTTCCAAAACGCGCTCAAAGCAGTTGACCAATCACAACACACTGGTCCAGCCATCCAATCAGAGCACATTTTGCTTTTAAGAAGGGGTGCTTCATAGAGACGGGAGCTAAACAGTGTTTCTGACAGACTGGGAAGAGAGGTGCTGCAATAATGTTAAATATGTGAAAAAGAATACAGTGTTTTTTGAAAATGCAAGCTCTTAAAGACTTTGACAATGATAATAATAGGTCCCTTTTAGGGAATAATATTTTTTTGTAAATATTTTGTCTAAAAGATGTATATACTAAATTTTAATTTAATTCTCTTGACAGAATATGTATTTTTATTTTTCATTATTTCATATTATAATCTCATGTTTCTATGTTCATAATTGTATATTTAAAACAATTTCTGCTTTAGATGAAGGTTTTTGTAAACACGGCTTAGGAAATATGTTTTTCTTTTTTTCTTAGATATGTCTTTAACATTATTGAACCCGAATCTAATCCTGGTGAAATGTTACATTGTTTGACCTCAGGGTCAAGTCTTTGGTTTCTGTCCTGTGCTGCGACAGCTCCAGCACAAACGCTGCACTCTCAATGCTGTAATTGAAGCTTCTCCTCTGTGATCAGTAATTGAAACCTCTGTCCTGTCCTCTGCTCTCAGTGCTTGGCTGCAGACACTCTGGCAGCGTATGGGATGAGCGAACAGTCTCGTATAGATGAACGAGGCCTGCAGGAGATCTGCCCTACCATGATACAGCAGCTGGACTCACAAGCATGCAAGACCCAACAGGACCAAGAGTCCGAGATCAGCCCCAGACCCACTTACGCTGAGGGTAAGACTCACTATCCATTGTGAGACTATAGATAATATTATTGATGATGACTAATTTTTATTATCAGTCACAACATTGCCAAAAGTTTATGTACACCCCTATTTGACTGTTTTAGCTGTACCTATCATCAGTAACAAATCACACCGGTGTGCAATCTCAGACTTGAACTTCATTGAACATGCACGCCATGGTTTTAAAATGAATTGTTCAAGAATCACATATTTTTGTGCTGTGTGCAGGTGTCAACATATTTTGGTCATTAATCAAGGGTAATATGTAATATGCGAGATTTGTGCACACTGTGAATGCCATGACACTTATTAACAGTTCTTGTTGTTTTCATTAAACTGTCACATGTTGCACGTCCCCAGGTAATGCCATGTGTTAAAATGTATCAATATAGATAAAGAACAACACCTTGGCATATTTATAGCAGACTAGTCTAGTTTATATCTGTTGATCATTGTAGACAATCTTTGACTTGGCCATCAAATCAGGCTTCTAGGAAAAATACAGTGGATCAGCTGATTTAGTTTGAACTGAGAGGGTCGGAAAAGTGCAGGTGTTCTCTTATGTTGAGCCTTGATCTCCAGTTAAAGTGTGATAAGAATAGTCAACTCTTTGAAAACTGAAAAACATAGAAATGTAATAAAAAGAAAAGAAATGCAAGTTGCTTTGGTATTTTGGTTCTCTAAGAAAGACGTAAGCACGTAAAACATTAGCTATATAATACAGTTCAAATGTTTCAGTCAGTAATATTACAATTAAATATCACAATTTGAAATGACAGTTTTTATTATTACTATTATTATTATCATCATTTGAATATATTTTAAAATTTAATTTATTCCTGTGATGTCAAAGCTGAATTTTCAGCATCATAACTCCAGTCTTCAGTGTCACATGATCCTTCAGAAATAATTATTATCATTATAAAACAGTTGTGCTGCTTAATATTTTTGTTGAAATCATAAGTAATAATTTCTTTCCAAAACAAATTCTTACTGACCCCAAATCTTTGAACAGTAGTGTACAATATTGAAACCCCTTCAGATGGTTTAACTTTATTAGATCATGCTCATATAGTTAATGTGATAAAATGGGGCCATTCATTGTCAACTCAACCCGAGGTCCCCAGCTAAAAATTTATTTTGATTAAAAATATATATATTCTCGTGAAAAAAATGCATAAATGAAGAAGGAAGCTATATAAATGCTATGAATATTTACTGAGTAATCCACTATTCTGTAGAGGGGGGTCAAAATTACAAATTTCATCTGAGATTTGGAGCCAAATTACAGGGGGAACAAATTAATTTAGAAATATAGCAGGGTTATTACTTTATTTTTACATAGAGATTAGTAGGTCCTTGTTGCATAATGTGCCAATCGTGAAGTTTCAAAAATGGGAAAAGCACTTTTCCGAAGGTTTCATTGCCTGTAACTTAAGAAGTATTAAAGATATCTATAATATGTACACCCATATTTGACTGTTTTAGCTATACCTATAACAATCAGGTAAAATCAATCACACAGGTGTGCAATCTCCTTAAACAAACCTTTCAAGAGGATTTATGCACATCTTTGCACTGTGAGATGCCATGACACTTATTAACAGATCTTGTAATGTTTTTTTTTAAACCGTCAAGTGTTGCACGTCCCCAGGTAATGTCAGGTGTTAAAATGTATCAGTATAGATAAAGAACAACACCTTGGCATATTTATAGCAGACTAGTCTAGTTCATATCTGTTGATCATTGTAGACAATCTTTGACTTGGCCATCAAATCAGGCTTCTAGGAAAAATACAGTGGATCAGCTGATTTAGTTTGAACTCTGACTGAGAGGGTCGGGAAAGTGCAGGTGTTCGTTTATGTTGAGCCTTGATCTCCAGTTAAAGTGTGATAAGAATAGTCAACTCTTTGAAAACTGAAAAACGTTAATGAATTAAAAAACAAAATATCTAATCAACTTGCATTTATTTATTTTATTAAGAAAGTCGGCACAAGCACAGTTCAAATATTTCAGTAAATAATATACAGGTCCTTCTCAAAAAATTAGCATATAAAGTTCATTATTTTCCATAATGTAATGATAAAAATTAAACTTTCATATATTTTAGATTCATTGGACACCAACTGAAATATTTCAGGTCTTTTATTGTTTTAATACTGATGATTTTGGCATACAGCTCATGAAAACCCAAAATTCCTGTCTCAAAAAATTAGCATATTTCATCCGACCTATAAAAGAAGTGTTTTTAATACAAAAAAAAAAAGTCAACCTTCAAATAATTATGTTCAGTTATGCACTCAATAGTCAATACTTGGTCGGGAATCCTTTTGCAGAAATGACTGCTTCAATGCGGCGTGGCATGGAGGCAATCAGCCTGTGGCTCTGCTGAGGTGTTATGGAGGCCCAGGATGCTTCGATAGCGGCCTTAAGCTCATCCAGAGTGTTGGGTCTTGCGTCTCTCAACTTTCTCTTCACAATATCCCACAGATTCTCTATGGCAGGGGTCTCAAACTCAACTTAACTGGGGGCCGCTGGAGGTAGAGTCTGGGTCAGGCTGGGCCGCATCAAGTATTCCACAAAAAATAGTATTCAAGTATTCCAAAAAAGGAGCACAACTGATCCAATCTTCATGAGCTGTCCTTCTGACAGTTGAAGTTCATTTTCCTTATACACAAAATCTTTGTGTTACTTCATTTTACAAACATTCTTTTTCTTTTCCTTATAACACATATTTGTGATACTTATATTTGCTTATGTCCTTTTTATTTTCTTTATACAACACATTAATGATATTGAATGTTTTTTTTTGGAAGGCACATTTCCTTTTATTATACTTAGAAAAACGATTATTGCTTTTGAAATACAAATATTTCCAGTCATGTCTACCCATCTTAGGGCCTGTTCACATATCGCGTCTTTTGCGCACTCAAGTTCGTTATTTCAAATGTAGGTGCGCGGAATGCGCGCTCATAATGGAAGCGGTGCGTTCGTGGTGCGACGCGCACCGTAGCTTAGCAACGACAGACGCCTACGGAGCGCAACCGCCCTAGCGCTTTGGAAAAAGGAGAACGCGGCGCGCCTAGTGTTTTCTACGCGTTTTTGGGCGCTAAATGTGAATTCAGCCTTATTTAATTATTTCTACACATGTATAGTGTCTCAGGCAAATTACTGACTTTGCACAAATCAAAGCAAACCTTCTTATCAACCTGCTGGACACATATTACAAGCTCAAAATGATTATTCTCACATTGTTTTAGAGCAGGGGTCTCCAACACGTCGCTCGCGAGCTACCAGTAGATCGTGGCATGTTCACATATCGCGCTCACATATTTTGCTTGCTCAAGTTCGTTATTTCAAATGTAGGCGCGCGGTAAGCGCGCTCATAAGCGACGCGCTCATTTTTTCCAGGCGCAGTAAGTTTGTACTTCGCGGTTGTCTATGACAACTATTGACAACAAACCCACCGTAAGCTGTCATGAGACTATCTATGGTAGCCCAAAAGGGATAAAAAAAATATTTATTTTTTTTAAACGCGGCACACGCAACGACGGGCCACACTAACATTAAACTTTAATGTCAAGTAGGGGGCCACAAAATATCAGGGCCGTGAGTTTGAGACCACTGCTCTATGGGGTTCAGGTCAGGAGAGCTGGCAGGCCAATTGAGCACAGTAATACCATGGTCAGTAAACCATTTACCAGTGGTTTTGGCACTGTGAGCAGGTGCCAGGTTGTGCTGAAAAATGAAATCTTCATCTCCATAAAGCTTTTCAGCAGATGGAAGCATGAAGTGCTCCAAAATCTCCTGATAGCTAGCTGCATTGACCCTGCCCTTGATAAAACACAGTGCACCAACACCAGCAGCTGACATGGCACCCCAGACCATCACTGACTGTGGGTACTTGACACTGGACTTCAGGCATTTTGGCATTTCCTTCTCCCCAGTCTTCCTCCATACTCTGGCACCTTGATTTCCGAATGACATGCAAAACTGAGCAACAATCCAGTGCTGCTTCTCTGTAGCCCAGGTCAGGCGCTTCTGCCGCTGTTTCTGGTTCAAAAGTGGCTTGACCTGGGGAATGCGGCACCTGTAGCCCATTTCCTGCACACGCCTGTGCACAGTGGCTCTGGATGTTTCTACTCCAGACTCAGTCCACTGCTTCCGCAGGTCCCCCAAGGTCTGGAATCGGTCCTTCTCCACAATCTTCCTCAGGGTCCGGTCACCTCTTCTCGTTGTGCAGCGTTTTTTGCCACACTTTTTCCTTCCCACAGACTTCCCACTGAGGTGCCTTGATACACCACTCTGGGAACAGCCTATTTGTTCAGAAATTTCTTTCTGTCTTACCCTCTTGCTTGAGGGTGTCAATGATGGCCTTCTGGACAGCAGTCAGGTCGGCAGTCTTACCCATGATTGCGGTTTTGAGTAATGAAACAGGCTGGGAGTTTTTAAAAGCCTCAGGAATCTTTTGCAGGTGTTTAGAGTTAATTAGTTGATTCAGATGATTAGGTTAATAGCTCGTTTAGAGACCCTTTTCATGATATGCTAATTTTTTGAGACAGGAATTTTGGGTTTTCATGAGCTGTATGCCAAAATCATCAGTATTAAAACAATAAAAAGCCTGAAATATTTCAGTTGGTGTGCAATGAATCTAAAATATATGAAAGTTTAATTTTTATCATTACATTATGGAAAATAATGAACTTTATCACAATATGCTAATTTTTTGAGAAGGACCTGTATTACAATTAAATATCACAGATTGAAATGACTCCCCCCCCCCCCCTTTTATTTGAATATATTTTAAAATGTAATTTATTCCTGTGATTTTCAGCATCATTACTCCAGTCTTCAGTGTCACATGATCCTTTAGAAAGCATTCTAATATGCTGCTTTAGTGCTCAAGATGCATTTCTTGTTATTATCATTATAAGACAGTTGTGCTGCTTAATATTTTTGTTGAAATCATGATTTATGAGTAGATAATCATTCTCATATAGTTCATGTGATGAGGCCATTCCTTGTCAACTCAACCCTGAGGTCCCCAGCTAAAGATTGTGATTTTGATAAAAAAAAAATATATATATATATATATAAAAGAGAATATATTCCAAGATATTAAATGCTCAGTATTTTATTTGTATATAGAGATTAGTAGGCCTTTTTTACCTTTAAAACTCAAGAAGTATTAAAGATATCTTAATATCCTTTTAGATTCCGGTTCTTAACAGACTCCTCTTTTGGTATCTTAATTTTTAAGTCCCTGCAGAGTCCCGTGCAGTGGCTTAAGCGCCCAAATACTTTTGGGGTCACATAGATAGAATGAGGCATATATGTGCTGGCACTTTAGTCAATTTGGAAGATTGTTTCAAAATAAGACATCTTGACTTTTAAAATGGCTAGCTTGTATATTTCAGATGCCAGCAACATCTGGATTCAATCACAGTACTCTGGTCAGACGGGAGAATTGAAGGGAGGCTGTGAGCTTAGAGAGTCTTTCCAAGGCTGAACTGAAATATCCCCTGTGTAGGCGACAGATATAAAAAGGCAAGACAGAGAGTTCAGAGAATTTCATGGGCGTGTGTGAAGCCTGCTGGGACATTTCAGGAGGGAAAGTCATGAAGACAATTTCACATGCACTCTGTAATCTGGGATTTGTTAGCTTAAAAACATTTCGAATCTGTGCAGGTTTTTGTGTTCACCTTAACCTAAAATAAACCATGCCTATAACGGATTATTAATTTAATTTATTGAAATTCTTGTTTTTAATCAGCCTGTGACTCTTTGTCACTAAACACGTTGAACATCTGTGCACCGTATTTTCTGGCTCAGTGATATTTCCTGTCACTTTACCTCATGCTGTTCTTTATCTGCTAAACAAGTCACTTCTGGGTTTTGACATTTCTTGTGCATCCTGGCAGCGGGATACAAAATGGAAGCAGAATGTCGCAGTGCCACTTCCCGCCGGAATTCAGGAGATAAGGAGAGGGAGAAATGTGTGCTTTTGGAGTCTTATAGCATCCTATTCTTAATGCAGTCTATCCCATTCAGTTCTTAACAAAAAGTTCTGTACTGGCACCATGGTACAGTGATGGTAATAGGTTTTGTTCTGAGTATTTACTTTGTTCATGTACCAAAGAAAGCCAGGGTATTTCTGGTGGTTTGGGACATGAAATGATCAGAAAAGAGAAGGGAGTAAGATTAAAGCAGGATGCATGCCAGGCCCAAACCAGGATCATTTGCATAAGTGCCACAGCTCAGTGTGCATAAAATGTAACATAGCATGTGTTACATTTTTTTTAGTTTTGGTTCTCTCTCACCCTTCCCACTGCAAAATGTGGGAACCTTTCAGGTGTTAATTTGGAGTCCCAAAACGATACTTTCTAATACAATACTAGTACATAAAAAAACAAATGTACACGTATATGAAAACAAGTTTAAACATTTCAAAATTCATTTTGTTCCTAATAAAAGCCGATTGCTGAATGTTTTTACACTAAACAACTTTAAAGGACAGTTCTTCCCAAAAATGAAAATTCTGTCATAATTTACTCTCCCTCATATCGTTTCAAAACTGTATGACTTTCTGTCTTCTGTGAAGAAGATATTTGAAGAACATTGGTGTCCAAACAACATTGGACCCCATTAACTTGCATTGAATGGGCAAATACTGCATACTTTTGGCAGTGGACCTTGGTTGAAATTAAATTATTATATTTTAATTTTGCTCAGAATAAAAAGTCTATGCATTGACTTGTACTTGGAATTTATAGTGAACTCAACCTCTTTCTAGTTGTAATAGTGTCTCAGTCCACATCACATTCACACTGGTGTTTTTAGGAAGCCAAACATACATTATTGTAATTGTTTTCCCTAAGACAGTGATATATTACAATTGTAAATCTGCACTGTAAAATAAATGTAATTGAAAAAAGAATATTTCATAAGTATATACTTTTTGTTTTTACTTTACAGTAGTAAAGTTACAATAGTGTCTTACTTTCTTGACTTGCAAGAGTTAAACTCTCGAGCTAAGTCTCGAGGCTAAGTTTCTGTGACGACGGGTTTACAAACATTATATTATAAATCTAGTGAAATCATCTGTCCACAGAAATGTTGGAAATTATGTAATGTGAAAACAAAGCAAATCTGCCATACATCACAGACTTTTGCGATTTGAAGAGAGCACTAAGCTGGATCGTGATATTGATTTTAGTTTGATTGACATAATGCTTTGCCAAAGCAATGTCACAAAAAAATGTAACGTTATTATGAGAAGTGTAAATATATTTTATTTCGGGTTATGAAACTGGTGTGACCGATTAGATGGCCCACTGCAGTCTAGGTAATTAATGGGAGATGATGACAGAATTTTCATTTTTGGGTGAACAATTCCTTCAAATAACTTTGAAAACCGCCTCACTGGATATTTACACGCACAAACTGATTATGATTAATAAGCTGGCGATTTTAAAGGTAATTTAAATGCTTATACGGTATATTTTATCGGGTCATTGTATAGGGCAAAAACCCAGTTTTCTGACCTGTTCACGATTTGACATCGTAACCGTAGTACATCCAGATGATATCAAGTCTAATGTAAACATGGTTTTCTTGGGTTTTTGGATTTCCATAATGTCTGATGTATCTGTGTATTTGTATATTGCTTTACAATACACATTGTCCCAAAAGATCTTTCCAGAAATGAATAAGTGTGTTGTAACAGTGTCCAGAAAAAAACTCCTTAAGTCGTTGAAGTAGATGAGAAAGTAACCAAATCTTTTTTTAAGTTTATGAGTCCATGTTACTGCTGTTATTTGAAAGAAATAATTTTTTTAAATGCATCAGTGTGTTGTTATGAATGTTTTACTTCTTCTCTATAGGTAAAGTGCTGACAGCTGTTAACAAATTCAGCTCTATGGTTTTAGAGAAAGCCAGAGAATGCCACGATCCACTCCCACATAATGACATCGCTCATATACTCTACATGTGTCTATTCAGGCGTGTATTGTGACTGATATCTTGTATTTCTAGGGATTCCAGTTCGACTGGATTAAATAACAGAAAAGTGCAGCCAGACTGAAATATATGCCATAATCCACGCGCACACAAAAGCTGTGGGATGTGTCTGCATGGGGTGTCATGTCATCTCATTAAAAGGTGTATGTGTCTGTGTGTGTGTCCTGCAGTGTGGGGTTACTCAATTTTGAGTGTGACTCTGGTTAGTGCATTCGCTTTGACCAGTGTTTTTGTGGTGCCCCTGATGAGGACGCGGTTCATGCGCAGAGTTCTCATCTATTTCATCGCGCTGTCCATCGGAACGTTGTTGTCCACTGCCATCCTACAGCTCCTGCCTGAGGTTCAGTATCCATCCACCCATTTCCACCCAAACACACCAAATCAACCGCGGATCAAGATTAATCTCAGAGGGGTGTCTGGAATTGTCGCCTTTTTTCCTTCTGTCCTCCTTCACACAATGTTTTCTCCCTTTCATACATAACAAAACACCCCTAACCACAGTAAAGACACCTCTTAATCTGGTTGTTTCCTCTTCCTCTCCTGTTGCCTTTATTTCTTCCATGATTGTTTTGTTGGTAATTTTTTTAGGACCATAAAAGCTGTTAAAAACTTCTGTTCAAGGTCAGTCTTACTCATATAGTCTAACAATAGCTGATAATTTTGTATTTATAAATAATGACTGACAAATTTCCAATGACTGGCAAAATCAGAAAAAAAAGACCCATTAATAGATTGAATCAGATGTTTTTTTAATGCTGTTTTTAGGGGAACATATTTGTTACTAATCACATTTTTACAGCGTTTTCTACGCTGTTTTTTTGTGAGGATACTTTGTTTATTTTATTGCATTTTTCATTTTTTTTATCATTAATTTATAAAATGGATAATTTTGTGTTTGACCACTTGAAAATGATGACTGAATCTTAAGCCGTTTGGAACTCAAATTGAAAAAACAAACAAAAAACTGACCCATGAATAGTGAAAAAGATGGAATCAGATTTTTTTTATTATTAGCCTATATATTTTTTAAATATTTTTTTCCAACTTTGTATTTTGTGTTGCTTGAAAGTTTTGAAAAACGTTTTGAAATATGATGGTTAAATTGGCAACAGTCGAGTTTGGTGAACCTTGAAAGCTGTAGGAGGGGTTTGGATTGTCCAAGTCAACCTAATGTTTGATTTTTGTTTGTTCCACAACTTTTGGGAGATGATCAATACCCCCTGCCCTAATCTGCCTCCACCGCTTTTCAAATTGTTCCTCTAGCCATGAATACTGCCTTTAAAGTAGACCACTAACACTTAATTTATTCACTAGCTCATCAGCTATGGAAATCCCATCCAAAGAGCTAATGGAGTGCTGCATGTCCCAGGATGTTTTTGGTTGGGTTGTTGTTGTTGATGTCATTGCTCAAACAGACCTACAGGTACACCTTGTGCTGGGTGTTGATGGTTCATTGACTGCTCAACATAATTACAGGTGTTTGCAGGTCCTCTGTTGCCTCTGGGAATTGTATAGACTGAGAGGAGGAAGGGAATGTTTAGTTATCCCATCAGGATTGAATGATTTTCAGTGACCTCGTGTCTTAAGGCATCATTTGTTCTGTGATGGTCAACAGGAAGCCGTCTCCCCCTACTTCCTCTGTGAATGAAACAATGGATTCTAAAATGTGAACAACATACACTACTGTTCAAAAGTTTGGAGTCATTCTTTTTTCATTTTTGATTTTTTTTTTTATTCAGCAAGGGTGCATTAAATTGATCAAAAGTGAAAGTAAAGACATTTATAATCAAAACATTTGTTTCAATGCTGATCTTTTGAACTTTCTATTCATCAAAGAGTCCTGAAAAACCCAGCTTTGCAATAACAGGAAACATTTATTAGGAATTATAATATTTCACTCTATTACTGTTATATTTTAAACTGCTTAGCATAAAAAAAAATTTCTTCAAAAAAAATCTTATCGACCCCAAACTTTTGAATGGTAGTGTAATAGCATGACTCTGGAATGTTTATGATTTATTGCTGTTAATTCATTATATCAATGGACATCACATCTACTGTAAATGAGATTTGATTTAAAAAGATATACTGCATATTTCCATCAAATGTCCAAACCCTCATTGTGGTTGCATGAATTGATTTGATAGTTCAGTGGCCCACAGAACCCCCTCAGGGAGTAAATCTCACAATTGAGATTATGAATATCAACCTTTCACCTAGTATTAATTAATCTGCTGATTAATTCAAATATTCTTTCTTCTTTTCTCCCTTTCTTTTCCACCTCCCCTGTTCTCTCTCTCTCTCTCCCTCTCTGTTTTGGTTGTTTGGCCAGTGTGGGGGTATGGTTTCCTGTGTGTGACAGTGATATCTCTGTGTTCACTGGTCGGGGCGAGTGTGGTTCCCTTCATGAGGAAAACCTTTTACAAGCGGTTGCTGCTGTACTTCATAGCCCTGGCCATTGGTACTCTGTACTCCAACGCCCTCTTTCAACTAATCCCAGAGGTAGAGTGGACACGTGTGGGAAACGGGGTTATAGACGTGTGCCACACAACCAGACTCTCTAGATCTCTAGAGATAAAGATGTCCTGGTTGAGTCTTTATGTTGAGTCTGGCATTTAAAGGAATAGTTTGCTCAAAATGAAAACGCTTCATTTACTTGTCCTCATGTTGTTCCAGACTTTGTGCAACACAAATGAACATATTTTATGCAACATCAAGAAAACTTCTAGAGTTCTCAAGTTCAAAAATCGTAGATAGTTTTTATCGAAATGATTTATTCTATTTTTCTGTCCTTCGTTCTTTTAAATATGTTTGTTAATTGTTTTTAATGTTTATAATTTAAAACAATAGACGTTATTTTGCGCTGTTCTTGCCATTACATTAGCCTTAGGGTAAGATTTGCGTTTCATAGAGCGCGTGGTAGAGGGGAGAGATTTTTTTCTTTTTTCTGTTTCTGATCATTTATTTGGAATGACAGAGGAAGACGTAATCCGAACACATTGTTCGCCAAAGCCGCGTTATTTTTAACGACGCTAATTTGCCCTGTTTAGTAAATCTGGCCCTTAGATACTGACATGGCATAAGACAAAATTGTGTAATGTTTGTTTTCTTTATAATAAAAATGGATGGTGATTTCACATCGCCCAAACTCCAATTTTTCCAAAATTCAGTAGTCTCGGATGTGATATTCAGAGTTTTCTGAAGTCATTGAATAGAAGCTGGTTGGTGCAACTGAAACATCATCCATTCTTATTGTATACGAAATAACAGAGTTAATATTCTGCCAAAACAAAACAAAAAATCTCATTTTGAGTAAAAATAGTATGTTTTGGAACAACATGAGGGTGAGTAACTGATTACAGGATTTTCATTTTCAGGTCAATATTCCCTTTAAACACAAATATAAGTTTTCCCAGCCTCAGTGGTTCTCCCCAGCTGGAAGGCTAAAAAAATTGAGTAAAAAACAAAACAAAACGATAAAGGCACTTTGTATTGATTCATACACAGAACACATAGGCTACTTCTTTTAAATGGGTCATGACATGGATTTTTAATTATTTTAATATGTTCCTTGAGGTTTACTTATAATTTTAATGAATACAAACACAAATATATTTGTGGAAAAAACGATTATTTTCAACCCTCACTCGGACCGTCTGTGTGAAATGATCAGTTTTTAAGGAGCGGATCCTTTAAGGCTTGTCAGTAAACGGCCACTATTATGATTAGCTAGTGTCATTGCATAGGAAACACAGTATCAACACCCACTCGCAATTGCATGTATCATTATCAAAACCGTCATTTACAGACAAAGCGTTATGAAATCATTTACATATACATCCAATACTGTTGACTCCTTCTTCTGTAAACAAACGTTTCTTTGGAAACTCTCCATTACTGTTCCTTGTTTACAAACTATCTGCAGTCAAATTTTCAGAACAAACATAAAACTCTCTGACGCAATCCAGGATGCCATTAAAAATTACATCTACTTGTTCCTTATGGTGATGTACTGTTTTTACAGAAATATATTTTATTATGGTGTGATGATGGCCTGTGTGATGTCACAGATACCGCAATGCTTTGTTTATAATGAGGAAGTCGTTTTAAGCTGAAACTTGTTTGAATGGTGCAAAGACCATTCATATGTCAAAAGATCAAGGCAAATTTGATTTCTCGTGTCATGACCCCTTTAAAATCATATATGCCCATTCACTACAATTTTGAGGCAAGTTGGCATGAAACTGGAGCGCACATCTTTTTGTGAACTATTTAAATCAATAACTATAAATGAATGACCCAGTCTGGTGAAAAGCCAAGCAAACAGGGGGGAATCCCTGAGGCATTAGTGAACTAGTGTAAAGACCCAATCTAAAATAAATCCCATGCTCACTCTTCTTGACTGCTTGTAACCAAGTGTGAAATACATGTGAAGAGTACGTTGTCTTCTCAGTTGGTAAATTAATTTCTTTATCTGTAAAAGTACCATGTTTTCACATGCAAGAGACAATTTATGGTGTCTAGGAGAGTGATTAGGGGCTTGTTTTTGGATTGTATCCATACTAAATGCATATATTTTCTACACTTCACTGCTCACATTCTGTTTTAACATATTAAATGCAGCACACACACACACACACACACTATATTTCAAAGGTTTGAGGTCCAATTTGAAGAATTATCTTATATTTGATAAAAAAAATACAGTAACAACTGTAATATTGTGCAATATTACAATTTAAAATAACTTTTCTATTTTAATATATTTTAAAATGTAGTTTTTTTTTTCCTGTGATGGTAAAGCTGAAGCAGCCATGCCACATGATCCTTCAGAAATCATTCTAAATGATGATTGAAATTATTGTGCTCAAGAAACATTTCTTCTCAATATTGAGAAAGTTGTGGCTGTGCTGCTTAATATTCTTTTGGAAACCATGATACTTTTTTTTTTTTTTTTTAAGGTTCTTTGATGATTAGAAAGTTAAAAACAATGGCAGTGGAACGATGTAAAAGTCTGTAGTGTCAAAAGTATCCATTTCTTTAAAAAAAAAAAAATCTTACTGACCCCAAACTTTTGAACAGTAGTGTAGTTCAACATTTTACATACAATTTTATGCTAGTTTTATGAAAAAAATATTTAAGGTTAAAAACAAATACTATATTATTATTATGATTTTATTTAATTAGTTTGAGTAAAATTGTATTTGACTTTTTAAAACATGCTTTTTTCTTTATGTAGGCCTTTGGATTCGACCCTATGGAGGATTATTACGTGTCCAAGTCTGCTGTTGTGTTTGGAGGATTTTACCTGTTCTTCTTTACAGAGAAAGTCCTGAAGATGATCTTAAAGCCAAAGGACGGGGTGAGGTTTGGACTAATAGTCTTCTGTACAAGTAAACCATGAAGTGGTTGTGTTTTTTTTTTTAGCAAACAGCTTTATCTGACATTGTCATTGTGACATGGGTTCCCAGTGACATCTAAAACAAAAATGGAGTTGTTTTTCATCACTTCAGAACTTTTAAAAGTTCAAACTCATGACGTTGTGCATTGGAATGTGTGAACAGTATGTACAGAATGTTTGTGATTGGTTTTAGTTCCTCAGAGGCTGCACTTTTTATTTCTATTATCCTTTGAAAGACTATGTCCTCCTGTTGGATGTAAAAAATGAACTTAATACTCATAAAAATACATTCAGGGTTTCATTGCAGTCTGTAATGGCTTGAGCAGAGCATTTTATTTAATGATTTATCATTAAACTTGCTTTTGAGATTGTGATGGTTGTAATGCAGCACCCTCTAGTGGAGAATTTTCTTTGGAAGCTTATTCACTCCCTCTTTCTTTTGTGTTTCTTCTGGCCCTTCTTGTTATCGAAATCTCTCTTTTGTTAGGGAGGGCATGGCCACGGCCACAGTCACTTCCCCGCAGAGCGCTATGCCAGCTCTAATGGTGACTTGGAGGATGGTGTGATGGAGAAACTGCAGAACGGAGAGGCTGGAGGAGCATCTTTACCCAGAGTGGAAGGAGATGTCAGAGGGGTTGGAGAAGACGACAAAATGCTGAGTACTGGGCAGACAGTACAGGTGAGAAAGCAAACAAACCGTAGTCTTCTTCAATTCCTTAAATTATCATTTCCAGTGGTATTACAAATCGCACACACTAAAATAAATAAATGAAATCTAATAACAAATTTAGTACTTGTCGAATTAATTGATTAAGCTTAAATGACTATTAACGTCACCCATTATGTCTCAAAGACAACTTGAAATTAAAATGAACACTATTCGAATATATTAAAGAGGACCTTTTATGCTTTTTTTTACATTTTCAACTGTCTTTAGTGTGTAATCTTGCTGTTTGAGCATGAAAATGTTCTGCAAAGTGACAACGCACAAAGTCACTCCAAAGGGAGTTATTCTCTATGTCAGTAAGCACCGTTTCTGAACTCCCTGTGAAACGCCTAGATTATAGTCTTGAGTTTTCTTCCATGAACGTACGTCACAGTATTCCTCATTTAAATAATCTCCGCCAAACGCATATGAAAATGTGCGAGGCCTGGTTGAGTTGTGTTAATAGTGTGTAGAACCTTGCGGCTATGGGTGTGTCATTTCCAAAACACGCTCGTCACAGTTGAGTGTTTCTTGGAAGAGAGGTGCTGCAACAATGTAGAATATGTGCATAAGAATGTGTTTTTTGAACATTCGATTTCAAGCATGAAAACCCATTCTTCTAAAAAACACAAAAAAACAAAATTAAGACTCTGAAAAAGAGCATAATATGGCCTCTTCAAGATTATTGTCATGCCAGAATTACTGTAATTATGAATTTCCAACTTCTAAAAACTGTCCAGGACTTTGTCTTAATTCATAATTAAAACTCTGAGTTCAATGAACTCTGGCTAATGGTTAATGGCTAATGACGTCATGTAAACTGAACCAGAATGGTTTCAACAGCCAAGGTTGCACTTGCCGCTGCACATTTTGATGTCATTTTAGTATGCCGCATTTTCTAAATTAATATAATGTGTTTCAAGAGCATATAGAAGTGAATTAATATAGTGCTTTTGCTTTCATTAACATCAAAGCCAGTCATGTTGCAAGCGTTGCCATAAAAACACATTTTTCTGTTTCTGAGGACGTGACCAGCATCTTAGCGTTGTCAGCTCGTAATTACCATCATTTCAGCACATCTTGAGTTCGGCATGATTAATCAGCACGATTCATCAGTGTGTGTGTTTTTTTTAAGGGAAAAGGTATAATTTTCATTAAAAGGCATCATCTATCTCTAACACAATGTTTCTTATGTGAGCTAAAAGAACCCTGCAGGAGCTAAAAGAATATGTTTCACGATTCAGTCAAACACTACTGGCTATTAATTACACTACTGTGCAAATATCTGTGGTCAGTAAGATTTTTTAAAGAAAATAATGCTTTTATTCAGCAAGTACAAATGAAATAGAAATATTTTGTCATCAAATAATTAGTCTTTATTTCAGATAAATGCTGTATTTCTAAACTTCATATTCATCAAATAATCCTGAAAAATGAATAGTTTCTACAAAAATATAAAGCAGCACAAATGTTTTCAACTGATAATAATAAGAAATGTTAATTGAGCACCAAATCAGCATATTAGAATGATTTCTGAAGGATCATGTGACAAATTCAGGAATACATTACATTTCAAAATATAATAAAATTGAAAACAGTTATTTCAAATTGTAGTAATTTCATAGTATTACAGTCTATACAAAGAATTTGGATCAAATAAATGCAGCATTGATGAGTATAAGAAATTTCTTTCAAAAGCATAAAAGTATCTCACCCAAACGTTTGAACAGAAGTGTATATTGACTTCTTTTGTTTGTGTCCTTGACGCAGGACTCTCAGAGTTCAGGTGGTGCTGGAACGGGTGGATGTTATTGGCTGAAGGGCAGGGCATACTCTGACATCGCTACTCTGGCGTGGATGATCACTTTGAGTGACGGTCTCCATAATTTCATAGATGGTTTGGCTATCGGAGCCTCCTTCACTGCTTCTGTGTTCCAGGGCATCAGTACATCAGTGGCAATTCTGTGTGAGGAGTTTCCACATGAGTTGGGTGGGTAGAACTGCTTCTTTAACCCTTCTGTTATTGTGACCAATCAAAAATGGCCATAGACATGCTGAATGTGTTGTTGTCGTCATGCAGGTGATTTTGTAATCTTGTTAAATGCTGGCATGAGCATCCAGCAGGCGCTGTTCTTTAACTTCCTGTCAGCGTGCTGCTGTTATCTGGGCATGGGCTTCGGCATTCTGGCTGGAAACAACTTCTCACCTAACTGGATCTTTGCTCTAGCCGGGGGCATGTTCCTCTACATTGCACTGGCTGATATGGTGAGAGACTTCATGCTGATCATTTGCTGGCTTTTAATGTACTGGTTTTTGGAAATGGGGTAATGATTTGATGAATTTGATTGATTCCTGAAGGTGAGTTTCTATGATTCGTGTGGTGTAAAAGAAGTTAAAGTGACCAATCACCCAAAATGAAAATTCTGTCATAATTTACTAACCCTTATGTTGTTTTAAACCTGTGTTTCTTTGTTCTGTTGAACACAAAATAAGATATTTTAAAGAATGTTGGTAATCAAACAGGTGATGGTAGCCATTGACTTCCATGGTCAATTTTCATTTTGGGGTGAACTATCCCTTTACTACCAATGTTATATCTCAAATTAGGAGCATTACTAATTTAAATACATTTTTGAAAATTGTAATAATTCAATGTACATTTAAAACTAAACTTAAAAACTGTATGATAACAAGGAAAAATGGTAGTTTACATGGGGGAAATTGTTTGGCTTGCATGTTTGTGTGGAAAAATACATTCTACCTCTAGATGGCGATATAGTGACTGTGACTGCGACTGTACTTAGCTGTATATTTGACTGTATTTCAATGTGCTGAAAATGCTGATGACAACGAAGCACATAAAGAAAATGACTAATTAATTACAAAAACTTATATAGTTTAGCTTCAGTTTTATTCAATTGAAATGTTAACTAACGAGCAAAACTTGCTGAAATTAACTAGAATCGAACAGTTAATTAAAAAGTAAAAACATAATTATAAAAACAAATTTGGTTACAAAACTATAATATATGCACTATTGTTCAAAAGTTTGGAGTCATTATTTTTAAAGAAATTAATACTTTTATTCAGAAAAATGCATTAAAGGTTCGTTAAAGGCATGCGGTAATTACCGGAAAAAGCGTTCACTTGTAATTACAACTTGTAAACTGGGAGTTTTCAGAGAGCTCCTATTGGAGTAGAACGTCACTTGTTGTCATCTCGTTATTACGGTAGTTACGACATGGAGTGAACACAACATAAATTTATAGAAGGTGACCGTAAGAACAATGTAAAGACATTTGATTCACAAGATTTTGATTTCAAATAAATGACCGGTAGCGTATAAGCATTTGAATTTCCACAGTCTAACTCGATAACCATGAAATCAGAGAATGCCTTTACCCATATGGTTATCCCAAAATTGATTCTGTTGATTTGTATAATGTTTCTTACAATCCATGTGTCTCCATATTCCTTTGTCCATCTCTGCAGTTTCCAGAGATGAACGAGGTGAGTCGTGAGGAAGAGGAGGCCGGAGGAAGTGGCTGTCTGGTCACTTTCGCCATCCAGAACGCAGGACTGCTCACAGGGTTTGCCATCATGCTTATACTCACCATCTACTCTGGACAGATACAGCTTGCATAGCAGAGGACCTAAATACAAACTCGGACCCTGAGGGACTAACTCAGCACCTGGACTCAAACCTGAGACCTACTGGGACCCCCAGACTTAAATATGAGCCAGCTGTGCTGGCTTGTTTTAAAACGTTTGCCCAGCTGGACTAGGTCATGGCATAAATTGAAATGATATGGGCTCAAACCCTAGACTGTTTGAATGAAGCTAGAATTGACTGACCTGTGAATTCGTCCAAATCCCAGACCTGTGGATGGATGGATGCTTTACCATTCATCTAGTTTAGGCCTTCTCTCGTTCTTTTGCCACAAAGCTTTAGGACACAATGATGTCCCTGTACTGTGTGGTTTCCAGTACCCTTACATACACATCTTGGTATATTTGTATTGATTTCTAATGTTATTTTTGTTCTTTCTCTCAGAGACAGACCACCTTTGTATTCCTGACCATGAGGATTAGAGTATGTCCACTGACTGACATGTTACAGATGAGATAAAACTTGACTTATTTTACTGACATTTAGTCAAATGCAGGTTGTTTCCGATGCTTCAAACCAAATGGTTTTGTTTATTCAATAGAAAAATTCTAAACAAAAAAGACCAGTTTTTCCAATCTTAGTGACAAGATATATAGATATACTGTAGGCTTGTTAGTTGACACTCATTCTATTAAGCTGAACTAAGTAGGTCACTTTAATCAAAGGTTACTCTGAACAGTTCAGAGTCTGAACTGTTGAATAAGTAGCTTTTAGTGTAGATACAGAGCAGCGTCTGTTCACAAATGTATCCATACTTAATTTCTCCCCTCAATGTCATTCCATAATAGCAAGCAAAATGCTTTAAAAGGATTCATTTGTTATCGATGTTTTAGCAAAAAAGCAGAGACCAAGTTTCTTCTAGAAAAATATCCTCCAACTTTAATATGTCAATTTATGACCAGAAAAATTGCTGCACATTTTAATGTATCCTCCTCTCATTTGTTATTTGCATAACCTTGAATATTAATTGACAGGCAGAAAAAAGATCACCCCACTTCAGTTTATATTTGCTCACCATTTATGATGATGATGATTATTAATTAAATAATAACTACTCCCAAATCTCAACTTAACGCATTGTATTTTAATAATATTTTCCACATCCTTTCATTTAATCTGAATGCAGTACTCTTCATATTTTAAGAAATAATTGGTAAATGCAAGCAAAATGTGTGCATAAAGGTACAATAATACGATCATTCCTTAAAACTTTCCTGGTAATACTTTAGAATAAGGTCCCATTGTTTAACTCTAGTTAACTACATTAGTAAACTAACAATGAAAAATACTTCTAAACCTTATAATATCTTCATGTTCATGCATATAATAAGTTCATGTACATTTCAATGTTTACTAATATATTATTAAATCGAAAGGATCTGCTTATATCATTTAATTGACCTAAGCTAACATGAACTAACAATAAACAGTTGCATTTGTATTAACTAACGTTAACAAAGATTAATAAATACTGTAATAAATGTTATGTGCTGGGAAGATTACTTACAGATTGTAGCAGGTTACTGATTTCCAAATTACATGACAATTTTAGTTAGCAACGTAACCCATTCAAGCTAATGTAATCTGACTACTTCTTAATTACTTTTAAATTACTTATGACCTAACTCGTTTATCACATTGAATTGAATAGGATAATATTGTACCATATTGATATAAAAATACAAATAGAAAGAAAATATATATCACACTATATTAACAACATGAAATGCATTATATATTACATTACGTCAGGGTTTCCCATGGAATATAATCTAATTACAAGTACTTTAATCTTGGAATCTGATTACGTAATCCAGATTATATGTAATTAGGTACTTCCCAGCACTGTAAATGTATTAGTCATTGGTAGTTAATGCATTGAAGTTAACAAATGGAACCTATCGTAAAGTGTTACCATTTTCCTTTATATATAGCACCACAGTACACTAGAGCTCTTTGCTAATTCAGCATCTAGACTGACAGGACTCACTTGAATCCTTTTTGAATACCATTTAAAGCTGAAGTGTAATTTCTGTGGCACTAGTTTATTCAAAAGTTTTTGCAAAATCCGACTGTTTGTTCGGATAGGCTTCCTGAACACTACTATTGGTCACCACCTCAAATTCACCAGTCTTGCTGTGATCAACCAACAAATGAAAACTTTGTTTCTGCATATTAAGATGGAAATAAGATGGAAAAAATTACACTTCAGCTTTAAAATGACTTACAAGTTAATTAGGAGTATTAATCGTATACATATGGTCTACAGATATGTTAGAACAAACTATGAGATTATTCAGAAATTGATCTTGCGCTTCAGATCAACCTTTATGACGACGCTTGTCTTCCACAAAAAAATATATTCTTCCATTGCTTAATATTGAGCTAGTTATATTCATATCTGCTATAACAATGCATAAAAATTGAACCGGACACCCCAGTATGCGGTTTAGCAAATAGCTACAAGATCATTCTGTTCATTGTTTGAAATGTAAATGATCTGAGTGTAACAGTTTCAGGGTCGTATTTGCATTTTCTGTGCATTTAGACTATCAGCGTTACTTTCTATAAAGCCCCTTTGTCTGATAAGTGTATGTAGAAGTTGCATTCAGCTTTGTGTGCAGTACAGGTTATAGAAACCATTATTTCAGCTGGCGTCTTATTGCTATGCATTGAAATGTCCTCTTAAGTGAATTTATGCCTTAAAGAGAGGAGGTAGTCACCATTCAGTGGTAAAAGTTTTAAGTTTTTGTACATCATTTTAAATTCAGTCATATTTAAAGATTTTTTGTAGTGTAGTGTGTGAATGTCTGTTTGTGATTTTTGTCATCAGTAATTGTATTTAAATAAGAGGGAAGCTGTTTTTAAATTGTGTTGTACGAGAGTATGTGAGCAAATCAGCATCTCATTGTTTTTTGTAGTGGATGGAGGCCAGTGCACCTGGTTATGATGAAGGCATTATGTTAATTACTGTAAACATCTCAAGTGTTTTGTGACTCATACCTGGGCAACATGCGACATCTGATTGCTAGTGGCTTTTTGTTTGTTTGTTTGTTTGTTTTTTGTTTGTTTTGAAATATTAAGCCATGGGTTTTAAGTTCATCATTTGTGCAATGAAAACAAAAAACATGATCCAAAACTGAAAGCTGTTGTTTCTCATTCATTTGTATGGTCTATTATTTTATGATATTTTGACTATACAAATCATTTATGGTTGTGTTGATAACATTGATTTCTATAAGCAACTTGTATTATTGATCACAGACAATAATTCAGGTTTACGTATAGGCCTACGTCTAAGAATATTCTTATTACTTTGAGTTCAGTTAAGTGAAGTACTCCTCTTCATCAGATTTGTGATTTAATGTGCTTTGAAACATCCTTAGATTCTTGATTTATCTATAAATATTGATGCTAAATAAAGAACTGATCGAAACTAACAGGTGTTCTTTCAAGCTGGAAGGTGTTTTTCCCCAGCTGCGTTTATAAAATACTTTCTCACTCTTTATGGCTTACTTTGAAGTTGGTCCTTGGTTTGCATTTAAACTTTTAAAACCATCTATTATGTCTTGGTTTTCTTTCATATGAGTGTGGCAGGGTATATTTGTCCTCAAAGGTTTGTATCTCACATCAGCTCTGCTGAAGTGTTTGTTTACCCTCACAATTGTGACAAGCCGTCGAGCTCTTCAGTGGATAAAACACCCTTCAGAAAAGAGTTAAGTATTACAACTTAATTCGAAGATTTCTTCAACATTAGACATCGTCAACTGAAAGATGATAATAATAATACCCCCTTACTTGTACTAATGATGTGAATCATAATTCAGAGGTAGTCGCTTCACTGGCGCTGTGAATCATGTCAGGAGTCGACTGATGCGCAGAAAGATGATTTTATTCAAATAAATACTTATTTATTTACTTGTTTAAAAGGACTTTGATTTTGAAGCTTTATTTTGGGACATTCCCGTTATCGTCACATCTCACACACACGTCCAACTGGTGTGTCCCTAGTCCTAAAGCTGTTGCACAAGGTACAAGTTCAAAACTTTAGAATTCCCATTAAATGTGAACGTGCAATGATA